TAATTGATCATAAAACGCTTCCCTTATTGGTTAAGGCTTATTATTATCTGGGCCGTATACTCCGATGATGTTCAGGTCTTCCTTCTCCATTCTTATCTTTGCTGTTACTATTCTTTCTGATATGTATTGACACTCTTTAATGTGATTTTGGTACCTTTGGTGTATTAGTAAGGCTACACCTTCTTTGACCCTGTTTTATTTTCCTACTCCACTGTAGATTAGTATTTTTTCACCTAATTTTGATAGACCTTTTCCTTTCTTTTTTGTTTCCTGTAGAGCACAAATGTCTCTTTCAGCACTTGCGTTATTTCTTGGTCCCTTGAGTTGAGTGATCTGATATTCCAAGTAGTAATTTTCATTTGGGTTTTGGATGTTTTTCGCTTGTCCTTATTTATTGCCGTAGTCGTCTTCATAGTATCAATCCAGTTCCGAGACTGTACATTGTTTCTTTGAGCAGTATTTGTTTTTACGATTGGTAGGTTGCTAACCTTGCCAATAACCCTCCACATTTTATCCGGTCTTGGGACCGGCTGTGGTAACCGCAGAGCTACTCAATCCACCTCTCAATCATGCCAGGTAGTGTTAGTATGTAAGTTAAAAACAATAAAATAAACTCACAATGACATATCGCATAGTTAAATTAGTATTTAAAATACAGTTGGCTTTGCTTAAATATTAAATCTGTTTGGATAATAAATAAAGTCAATGAAGCAGCTTTTGAAGCACTCGGCACGATCCAAAGGAACATAAAGGATACTTCATTGTGCTGGATAAATAACATCGCTAATGCACAACAAGAAACAAGCATATCGGAAGAGGATGCAAACAAACGAACCAGATGATAGACAAATATACACAAGATCAAACAGAGAAGTAAAAAATCTAGTAACTAAAGCAAAAAATGTTTCCTGGGAAAGTAAATGCAAAGAGCGCTACAAATATATAGCGCCGCCAAGATCAAGAGAAGCATAGAAAACCGTAAAAAACCTAAAACCAAACAGAAAAGAAGTGAGTAGAATAGATTTAATAGAAGAAAGATCTTGGATTAAACATTACTCAAAACTTCTTACTAAAAAATTCTTAGAAATAATTATTCAAACTACAGAGGGCTAAGAGTCATAAATTCACTCTTAAGACTCTATTGAAAAATAATAAAAAATATAATTGAAAAAGAGATGACAGATGTAGAAGAACAAAATGGCTTTCGTGCAGGCAGATCCTGTATACACAGCATATTTTCTCTAAAGCAGGTTATTGAGAAAAGATTAGCCCAAAACCTTTTAACTCATAAAAGTAGTCTTTAAAGATCCGAAGAAGGCATAAGATTCTTCTTCTTTAAGTTCCATCTTCTATCGAAGGTTGGAAATCATCATGGCTATGCGGACTCTGTTGACTGCCGCTCTAAAAAGTTCTGCACTACTGCATTCAAACCATTCTCTTAAGTTCTTAAGCCAGGATATTCTTCGTCTTCCCACATTTCGCTTTCCTTGGATTTTGCCCTGCATAATAAGTTGTAATAATCCGTATTTTTGCCCTCTCATCACATGTCCCAAGTACTCAAGTTTTCGTCTTTTAATAGTTAATATTATTTCCGCCTCATTTCCTATCCTTCTAGTTACTTCCATGTTTGACATTCTTTGAATCCATGATATTAGTAGAATTTTGTAACACCAAAATTCAAAGGCGGCCAACTTATTCAGATGAACTTGGTTTAGTGTCCAAGCTTCCAAACCATAAAGAAGAGTAGAGAACACGTAACATCGAAGCATTCTCAGGAGTAGTTCTAACCTTATATCCCGACAACAAAGAAACTTTTTAAGTTTAATAAATGATGTACGTGCTATTTCAATACGTGTCTTAATTTCTTTGGTTTGGTCCACATCTGATGTTATCCATGTTCCTAAGTATTTATAGTTATTAACACTCTCAATTGCAGTATCTTTAATAGTCAATTGGATATTTGCATGTGCAGATTTAGTCATGATCATGCATTTAGTTTTCTTTAAATTTATCTTCAGTCCGTACTCATGACTGCGTTCATTAAGGCGTTGCATTACGTTCTGTAAGGCATAAGGTAGTATACCACTTTTATTGCTCTGGGTATCAATGGAAAAACAAGGAATAAATAAAAATAATATAAAAGCAGTCCAATAGCTGTACAAAAATATGACGGTGAACATTAAAACTGGAAACTGGAAACTGGATTGCAAGTTTAGAATTGCTAGCGGTGCCCCATAGCTGAATACCATATGTTCAGAGTAGAGTAGAGTTTCGACTAATCAACCAATGCATGTTATGTTTAAATTTAATACCCAGTTGTTTTATTTTGGTAAAGATGTGCTTCTGCCAGGTTACTCGTTTGTCAAGGTGGATACCTGAGTATTTTTTGTCGTTTTCCTTACTTAATTTCTTGCAATTTTCTGTTTTATTAATTTTTTTTTGTAAATTTTCTGATGTTTTTATGGAACTAGATTCCATGGTCAGCATTGCGGTGTCGTCTGCAAAAGTAGCAACTTCTGTGTTGTTGCTGGATGGGAGATCTACAGTTCTACAGTATATATTAGGAATAAAATAGGTCCTAGTACGCTACCTTGTGGAACACATGTTTGATAGGGTGGAGCTGAGTGCATTCATCGTGCTGCTTTACCAGGAAGTGTCTATTTGATAGGTAGGATTTTTGGAGTGGAAAGAAAGGATATGACAATTATTAGTCTATTTTATAAAGTAGTCCTTCATGCCAAACCTTATCGAAGGCTTGACTGATGTCCAGAAACGCTGCTTAGAGGTAGAATTTACTTTCCAGCGTGTAGGAGATTTTTTTACTATTTTGTGGGCCTTTCAATTGTCCTATGCTTTAACCTGAAGAAAAATTGGTAGTCTGGAACAAGTTTAGTTTTTCTAAGATTGGAATCCAGTATTCAAGGGAAAAATATTTGGGATTCCTGGTTACCAGATAACAAGAACTCATTACCGGGAACTGCTTATGCAGCCAATCCAAATGGATGAATGGAGAGTGACGTATTTCTTATTTATTCAAGAAAAAACGTTTATTCCCGCATTAGGAGAAAATAGGTCAGTACTGTTGATATATGACGGTCATGGTACCCATATTAGTATTGAACTAGGTGAATTAGCACGATAGAATGATATCACAATCATCAAACTTCCTCCTCATACCAGCCACCTTCTGCATCATTTGGATTTAGCCGTATTTAAGTCTCTAAAAGACGTTTGGGACCAACAACTCGTACCCTGGCAGAGACATAATACTGGCCTTAAAATTCTAAAAAAAGAGTTTTCTCTGACGATAGCTACTACATGGAAAAACGTAAGCATAGAACCTATTAACCACGGGTTTAAAAAAGCTGGTACATATCCATTTAACCGCTATGTCATACTAGAGGAAAAATATCACCCTAAAAGCCTAAAATGATGGAAAGAACAAAGGAGTTTAGATGACCAAACAATAGTTATATATAATATGGATGCTATTACCGCCGGCAATATTGATCAGTCGGTAAATAAAGACCAGATTGTGGAAAACCATACAACCAATATTTCTGACGCAACTCCAAGTAGTAGTTCTTCAAAAATAAGTTTTGATGAGCTGCTATTAAACACTGTTAAACAGACAAATAAGCAAAGTCCTTCGGGCTCAAAAAGAAAAAAAGTAGCTGCAGGGCAGAAGTCGTTACTTCCGAAGAAGTTATGAATAAACTTACAGAAGAATATATTGAAGAACATAAAAGAAATATAACAGAAAACAAACAAAAGAAGAAGAACGCAGAAAGAAAAAAGAAGCAAAAATTCAAAAACCGAAGAGGATTAAGAAACAAGACGAAACTTTTAGTAGCTCAGAATCGGAAGAAGATTTGGTAGAATATGTTGAAAAGATGATTTAGATCCTGAAATACTTGAAGAAAACGAGTAAATAATTGAGAAAGAAGTGCCACCAGTTGGAGAGTTGGAAAAGACTCAAATCGCGCTGGGTATTTGGGTTGTTGTAGAGTACACATCTAAAAAACATATTAAACATTTTATTGGAAGAATTGATAACAAGATTGAAAATGAATGGAAAATTTGCTTTTTAAGATATAAAAAGAGTAGTAACACCTTTTTTGGCCTGATATAGAAGACATGGATATGATAGTTGGAGACAATATCGTAAAAACTTTACCAGAACCCGTTAAAGACAGAAGGGATCATTTTAATTTTGACGTAAATTTTGTCGGGTTGAATCTTTAAATCTTTAAAAAGTTTGTAACTTGCTTAAAAATAAATCAATTAAAATTTTTCAAACACTAAAAAATTCGTTTTTTCTTGCACTTTTAAATTATTTACACTTGCCCCAAAAATAACACTCGCTGTTTTAAGCTAAAGTCTATTGTCACACTTACCCCGAATTGACCGAAAAGTGTGAACAATGGATCATTTGAAAAAGTCCGTAAGCTTTCTAGGAAAAAAATATTATGACTTAAAACATCTCCTAAATCATGCAAAATATGTCATCAAAATCATCTAACTGAAAACTAGTTCACACTTCGACGGGTTCACCTTATATATAAATATGGTGTATATGTAAATTTTGAAACAAAAAACTACTATTAATAATGTTTAATGTGTCATAAAAACTGTGCTCTTATTAATTTTCAAACGATGTATAGCTATATAAATTTAGACGTTTTAACATTTTGAATAGATAAATAGGTGCATAACCTAAGGTAAAAATACTACAGCCTTGTTATAGTACATACATTTGATATTTTCAAAATTAATTTCTTTATTTGTCTGTTAATAACGTACTTAAAACTTCGTCACAGTGCAAATTTTGCTACACTAGCAAGAATACAGGAACAACTTGATGAAAAATCACATCTAGACTTATAATATCTCGTATGTAGATTAGTTACCTCAAAATGGTATCAATAGTTAGAATAAAGTTATCGATTAAAAATAAAACAATGACTAATTAATATTTAAATCAACATTATCTTTTTCAGATTGCAGAAAACCACCGCACCGTCCATCACGACGTCAGTACCCAAACATCACCAGATTCACTCTCCCCCAGTTACACAAGTCTCACATGGGCATCAGATTATTCCTCGTCGCCGTGTTTTACCTCAGCATCTGAATCCGACAGCGACTGTTTTGAAGAAATCAATAGTCTTTCTCCATCTCCGTCTCAATTACCAACCTTCGTGAAAAACATCGAAAGGAAAACAATATTGGGATCGAAATTTTCCTCTACGCCGGTGTTGAAAACTAAATATGATAAGGTACAGAGTGAATCAGTTGTTTACTAGTTAAAAAATATACTTTGCTGAAAGTCAGTAGTATCGTTGATTGAATATCGGAATATATTCGGATATTCCATCAACGGTAGTATTTTGAATCAACTCAAAGCTTTATTAAATGTGTATTATACATAGGTATATGAAGTTATATTGGAAGAATATATTGGATTCTCACTTTGTTTTTCTTCGTGCCCTTGCTTGGTCCCTGCTCTAATATCGTGCGTTAGCTATTAAATATACTAATTTTGTTGACGGCAGCTCGTAAAATGGATGTAGAGGATATGTTTAACCATTCTCTCAGGTTTCTAAGCCATGACGTTCTTCTTCAACCTGTCCCGCTTCTTCCTTCTAACTTGCCTTTTATTATTAAATGAAATATATTATTTTCTCTCTGGATGATGCATAACATGGCCAAAATATTCCAGTTTACGATTTTTAACTGTTCTGACCACTTCCGTAACTTTTCCCATCCGCTGCAAAACAACCTCGTAACCTTTATTTACCTAACTCATTCGCAGAATTCTTCGATACACGCATATTTCGAAGTCATCAAGTTTTCTTAGAAGTGTATCCCCTAACCTTCGACACCATATAAAAGACTAACGAGCAGTATCAAAGTTTGAGACATGAGCATTATTTGCCCATATCTCAGCTCTCATTTAGATTACAAGCAAGATAAATTATACTGTTGGTTCTCTCCAGTTGTTCTTCTTAAGCTGTTACCTGTAGCTGGTAGCTGTATTGGCATTTTAAAGACAACCATCACCTTTTCTTTGTAGTAGTTAGCAAATTATCAATATTGATTCCAATAATTTTGATACAACACTGAACACTATCCAATGCTTTATTGAAAACGAACTCAAAGTACATGTTAAATATTGGAGTGGATAAAATGCAGCTCCTTTCATCTTTTATCCTTTAGTCTGTGACACAAGACTTGGCTCACTATAAATCTGGTAGACTTTAAAATTAATACATCTTCGTCAGCTACCCCGCTCATATCATCATCATTAACAGCTATCCCATCCATTATCGGATGTAAGCATTCCTTAGGTGTGTCCATTCATTTCTGTTTGTTGTTTTTTGCATCCATTCGTGACCAGCCATTCGCTTGATATCATCAGTCCATCTGGTTTGAGGTCTTCCTCTACTTCTCTTGTTTTGTCCAACGGTTGGCTTTCATTGTGTCCATGTGCCTGGCCAGTTCCAATTTAACATGGGAATCTTTTTGGATTACATCTGTAACTTTTGTCTTCTTATTTCTTCATTGGACTTGCGATCGGTTAGCTTAATGTTGAGCATTCTCCGTTCCATAGCTCTCTGAGTTACTTGGAGTTTATGTACTATATTATTGTTAAAAGCTGATGTTTCAGTTCCATATGTCAGGATCGTTAGCACATACTGAACAAAAGTTTTTGCCTTTAAAGTATTTCGTAAATTTGATTTAAATACTGTTTGCAGGCCAGATGACAAAAAACAATTTAATTAATTCTTAGTTCTTCGCCGCCAAAGCAGGTGGCACCTCTGTACAAAAATCACTGAAAGGGAGAAGATGGCTTTTATTATATATATATATATATATATATATATATATATATATATATATATATATATATATATATATATATATATATATATATATAAAGATCAGGAAAACTATCAGGGAGGATGGAATATAATGGAATATATGACAAGGAAATTAAGGGAAGAATATGAGCTATGGGGGATATATATGTGTAAGACCGAATAATTATGTATTGGATCCGAGGTTGCAGATTGAAACTTAAGTTTAGAAGAAGTAAGTCCTGTAAGACTTTTAAGTATTAATGATAATCCAAGATGTTAATTTTATGAAATATATTGAAATGAAAATAGCACAGAGAAAACAAGCTACGAAAAAACTCCATAGATTGATATGGAACGGAACTATGGCCAATGACACCAACCATACGAAATAAAATATGAACAGTTGAATGGGACTTTATGAGAAGATGTCTACAAATCATCAGAGAGAATAGAATAAGAACAGATACAGTACAGAGCAGAACCCACCGGGCTCACCGGTGGGTTCGGTGAGCCCGGTAGATTGGGACCCACCGGTAAGGATATGGGGAGAATGAAATGCTACAAAAGGGAAAACGTACATAGGAAATGCAATGAGAGATAGAGACCTGAGAGAAGGTTACTGGGAGAATAAAGTGATGTAAAAGACGACAACAGCGAACTCATAATAGGAAAAAGTCAAAGAAGAAGCGATTTGACGCTTAGATTTTTAGATTATATTAGATAGCCTAGATTAGATTAGATTAAAGAAAATGAGAAAGACGGAAAAGGAATGGTTGGAAGCAAATAATACGCAAAATCTGAACAGAAGACAAAAGGCAAGTAAAAGTATCTAAACAACCCAAGCGAAGAAAATAAAAATATGTAAATATTAACTTGACTGTAAAAGTGGCTTAAAGCTTGTAAGTAGCAGTTACAAAAACAAAAAATACGGAATGGGAACATTACGGCTATGGATATAGTAAAGTAGAGACAATTAATTAAAAAAATTAATCATTTAAGATCTGTTCTGAATTATGCAATATAGAGGAATAATAATTTAAGGAAAACAGTTAAAGGCCCAATTTACAAAACAGTTGTTACCAAAAGACCAACAAATACTTACGCTGCGGAAACCACAAATATTCCACACAGTAAGAGCAAGGAAAATGCTAGGAATCACAAAAATTAAATTTTTTATAATAGTTAATAAAAAAGCAGAGACACATTGAAAAATAACTAGACTGTGAGCCTATATGAAAGAAGTATAAAAAGATTTGTTTTGAGAAATGTAGAGTTCCCATTTGGAATAAAATAACACAGCTTTATTTAATATAAGTATCTAAATTTAGGCGACCTACAGTGGGTGATCAAATTATTATGATCACTTCAAAAAACTTTATATTTTACTGTTTAATAAAGAATAAAACTACATATGAGTGTCTAATAATGTGAATATAATATAAAAATAGATCATAAACACGTTTTTTTACAAAATTTTAAAATATTTTTTTCTTTGACCTTAAATAACATTTTTTTTTAAATATTTTGTGTGACCTCCTTTAGCTTCGATGACAGCTTTGATCCTCCTTGGCATGCTTTGAATGTTTCTCAGGCAGTTTTCTTTTATTTTATCGTTTCTGTGCCAGGTGGCAATGAGTCTCTCAATTAACTGCTGCTTATTTGTGACAATTTCCTGGGCAAGCCCCTCTTCATAAGCTCCCATAGATTTTCGATCGGATTGAGGTCTGGGGAATTACCTGGCCACTTCAGTACTTTAATTTTCTTTTTTTCCAGGTACGATGTTACTCTTTTTGCCTTATGGCACGGTGCTGAATCGTGCATAAAGGTAAAATCCTCCGATTCGCCAAACCAGTCTTTGATTTGTGGCATGAGTTTTTTTTCCAGAATTTCAATATACTGATATTGATTCATCATTCCATTTACAATGTACAGCCTCCCTGTGCCCTTACTGCTGATCACAGACCATATCATAATCTTGAGAGGATACTTTTCTCGCTCCACTATGCAATCCTTATAATATTTTTCACCCACTCGCCTTCGGACGAAGGCCGACTTATCCATGAGTAACTCCACTGTAGACTCATCAGAGAAACAAACCTGTGAATAAAAAAAACTATAAGATATTTTTTTTAGGATAAAAACAGTGGTTATAGTGATTTAAACTTTAGTAGTGACGTAATTTACCTTATTCCAATCCTCAATTGTCCAATTTTGGTGTTCTTTGGTACATTCCAGTCTCTTTTTCATCATTACGATGGTCAACTTTGGTTTTTTGGCAGGGCGACATGATTTGAAACCTTGCTCAGTAAGCCTTCTGCGGACTGTCATGTCAGAAACTGGCATACCAGCTTCACGAATAAGTCCCGTGGGGATTCTTCTTGGCTTCTTTCGATTGTTTACGAATATATACCTCACTTTTCTTTCGTCTCTGGGTGTAGTGACACGCTTTCGACCACATTTTTGGGCACGCTGGTGAATCAGGGGTTTGTTGGTTTCAATTTTTTTTTTGATATTGCTCACTGTTGCTTGCGCTACTTGGCATTGTTGAGCTATCTGACGTTGGGAAAGCTTTGTATTCAATAAAAGTGTCTTTATTTCCACCATTTTAGACACAGGGACGTCTTTAGCCTTACCCATTATGATTTTCTTCTCAAAAGTCGAAATGTTTTGAAAATGTCTTTAAAATTAAAACTGATATTCTTTTTTCACTCACAATCACCACTAATAAATTAATAAAACATACTACAAAGATAAAACGATACTAATCTTTCAAAAACAATACAAAAACATACAAATTCAGTTGTAAACTCCAAGCGTAAATTCACCACAATCTGTATGTTGTCACGTAATTTGACAAAAATGACAGTTCTAGAGCGGTAAACGTCAAAAAAGTAATGTTATCAGTGACAAAATATATTGGCATACTTTAATCGTATATCAGCATATAATTTTATTATAAAATTTCTGAACAAATATGAAAAACTTAAATTTTTGTGACTGATCATAATAATGTGATCACCCACTATACATTGAATTGTATTTTATTATTTACCTATGAAGGAGTTGAATCTATGAAGTACAAGGATAATTATTTTGCTTTAACTCTATTGTATATTATATTTTGCAACGATTTATACAAATGTATTTACGATTCGCCCTGTTAGATAGCATTAATCATGCGTAAATGAGTTAGGTAGTATATAACGCCTTTGAAGTTGCTAAACTCAGTAGCGATATTATCCAGATGGGAGGTCATGCTTAAGTAATTTTATAATTTCAGGTGAACAAGCAGTGCCGTTCACAGTCCGATCGACACCTAGCTGGTGAGTAGATGCTTTAACTAATATGTCCATTCGTGTTAAGGAATACAAGTTTTTCCGTAGTTTAAGTGTTAAAGTAAATGATAATTGGCCTGTCCGCAAGGCCGAGCAACTATGGCGCCAGATGCGAACGCACAAAATCGCAGGTTGGTTCTGTTAGTACCCCTTTCAGACACCTTAGATTTATACCAATCTTACCAAAAATAAAACAAAACCTCCCTCTCCCTTTCAAAATATGACTAATTCAAGCTGTAGAGACAAAAATGAATGGTTTTGAACATTAATTTGAGCAATGTCTGGTGTAACCTCCAAATGTGTGCAAGTCCAAACTGTTGATATGACACTTTTAAGGTGCAAAAACGGTGTTTTTGGATTATTTTTATTTTTATTATATCAAACCTAAATTTTAGAATAAAGTGAATAGAATATTATGAAAGTACATAAAAACCCTTTAATTTGAGCTATGCTTCATTAAATTTGACCTAATAGTTTATGCAAAATTAATGATTAAAGGTCCAAAAATGTCAAATTTTCACCACTTTTTATTTTTTAAATATCTTTGATATAAATTCTTCTTTTTTATGCAAAAGTCAATATGTTGTAGCTTTTTTAATTACAAATTGAATGATGCTTTGGTAGATTGATCGGTCAATTCGTTTTTGAGATACGTTTAATTGTTTATAAAAATTCTTTAAAGTCTATAATTTTTCAGTACCAGATCTTTTTTAAGATAGAGATCTAATTCTAGATGGATTCTTTTCTTGGTCGATTATATTTTTATGTAAAAATAAAATTATTTTCTTAAAAAATGTTTCAACCCCTTGTTTATAGCCTTGAATTAGGGGTAATTTTTGCGTTATACATTAATAAACCTACACGCAATTTTAGCTTATTGATTCTGATAGCTAAAGTCGAGACAAAGAAGAAAAAAAATGTTTTGTACGACCAATAGAACTGGAGTTAGCTTAATTTGTTTAAATAAATACAGATACTTTGTTTATAACAATTAAGAGTTAAAATCAGCGTCATTCAATAGTTAAAGGCCAATGTTTTATGAGGATATAATTTTTATTTTATAAAAAATCGCCATTTATAGTCAAAAAATAAGTAAAGTTGACTGTTTTTCGAGTAGCTGAATTGGCTCGGTGGTAGGACAACTCTTTTCCTGTCGGCCTGGCTAGAAAAAAACTTAATTTGAAACTTCAAATCCCCGGTGCTTGGAAAAATTTGTCATATCTTTGTTAAATATGGACCAATTTCATGATTTTTTTTTATTTATATGGTGTAGCGGAAAATTTTGTTAACATTTGCGATATTTTTTTGGCTGCGATCAAAACTTATACTACAAAGTAACTAATAACATTTGTTTAAAAATTACTCTTAATCATCTTTATTTTAATATCACATATTTTTCATAATGAAAATCGATTAATATTCTAAGAACACATTAGTAAAAAGAGGATTTTATTATATGGAAACAAAACCAATACATTCCTTATAGAGTTTCTGGAATATTCATCATTGGAACTAACGCAAGAAAGACGTAATGAACAGAGAAATCATTAATTACAAAATGAATTTCTTTAATTTTTTAGTATTTGATATTACCACCTCTACTGCTAATTACACTTTCCAATCGATTTCGCTTGGATCGGATAACTTTTCTAATAAATTCTTGAGGCATTGCTTCCCATTCATCATTAAGCGCAGCTTTCAATTCCAGTATGCTCCTGGGTGCATGGTTTCCGTCCCAGACCCTTTGTTTAAGCTCATTCCAAACATGCTCTATTCGATTTATGTCCGGGCTCAACGCAAACCAATTTATCTCAGTCAGAGAGGTGGTGGTGACTAGTGCGGTATGGCATCGTGCATTAAAATAAATACATCACTAATAAATCCCGCGTATGGAACCACATGTTCCTCCAAAATATCTCTTATGTAACGATATGCCGTTAAACTTCCTCCACCAGGCACGAAAACCAACTCGGTTTTTTTATTTTTAACTAATAACTGCAATTAACAGATATAAGTACAATTAAGACTCTTCTAAACCAACCATTAATATAATTTAACCAGTTAATAAATTTGATACATAATTTTTTCCCTCTGGCGTTCCTTCTAATTTATAGTGTTGATGATACAAATGTTGACATTCACTCACACATATTGCTCTGCTTTAAAACTAACACTTCATTCTTCTTGTTCTTAAAGTGCCTTTTCCTGAATGGAGTTTAATTACTACAATTACAAACTTTTTTTTGTTTTCAGCTGTTCTTATTAGCTATTCAAAAATTTAGCCCTGTCCATTGTCGGATGTTTCTTACCCACGATAGTCTTTTCCTGTTTAATACTTTCTTTCTCTCACTTCATTAGAGCAAGTATTTTTATGCTCTTGAGTCTTCTCACATATTGTTGATTGATTTTCCAGAAGCTCATTTATATAATTTATCTTTTTTTTTACATAAACTTTTTATCTTTGTATCTTATTCATCCTAAAAATATGCATGGTTTTTGTATAGTTATTTGCTTTGCTATTCGAAGTTACAATTAATTTGATTCATTTATTAAAAACAAGTTGTTTACTGATTTTGTTTCATATATCTTAATTCTCCAGTCATTGCTACAACTTGATAACTTATCACAGACCTTGTGCAAATGTAGCTGAAGTTATGTTTTAAGTTAGTAGGATTGTATGTTTTAACGTAGCAATTGCTATGTTGGTCTGATTTATCTATTTTATTCATTAATAACTCTTATTTTGATCATCGCTGTATGATGTTATGTTTTATGTAGATATTTGCTGTTGAAAATGGTTCAATTTATCCTTTACCTTAATAATATCGTATAAAGGAATATAGGCTTTCGTGGTGTTTTCTCAAAGACCTAATTAGAAGGGAAAACATTGTTTACTGTGGTAAATTCTAAGGCCCATCCTTAAGGATCATCTCGAAGAATCCATGCTTAAGCGAGAATGTTAAGAAGAGATATCGGCATGTGCCGAATTTGAGAGAAGCATTGACTATGTTACTCAGGTTCAGAGTGCTATCTGGAGAGTTGTTTCACATAGGTTTTGGAGACTACCAGTTAAGTTTCATGGACGTGTTGTGAATTAAGGAGGTTTTTAAGCATATGTTGCATTAATTTCTTAATGATGTCGTGGAAAGCAAGATCAAATCTAATGTCATCCGAAGTGAAATACCTTTAGAGGCGTGATTTGAAAGCTTACATATCTTGATTATCGGAATTGAGAATTTGGTGAGCTATTTAATATACTATTTATTGTTTAGGATTTTCCGTTTCCTCCAGAACGCGCCGCCGCGCCGTCTCGGTAGTCCACTCTGAAAGTAACCATGCGCCATTTATTAGCGTTGGTCATATTTACATACTTTCTGTTGCGTATATTCAATTTACAGACAATTCCGAGTTCCAACAACTACGATTTACAGACAATTCCAAGTTCCAACATCGAGAAGATTATATTACCCATGTTCGTCCGTCTAAAGATCTGGTCTACTGGCAAGAATCGATTCATTCGTAAACCGATAATATTAACGGAAATATTCGCGTGACAATCGTAGCGACCTACGATTGCCGAGTAAATTCATATTATTTTGAGCCTTTCGACTCTCGGAACTCCAAGAGATATCGTTACTACCTTGGACTACAAAGGATACGGCCTTAGAGGCTTTCAGGCACAATCCCACGGTTCCCTGTGGTTTCTCTCGTACTGAGCAGGATTACTATCGCAACGACGAGTCATCAGTTACGCTTAGCGAATTTTGCTTCGCAATGATAGGAAGAGCTGACATCGAAGGATCAAAAAGCGACGTCGTTATGAACGCTTGGCCGCCACAAGTCGGTTGCATATATACGTGTATTCAGTTTTCATTTTATTTAAGATTACCTAACTGTGGTATTGTTTGTTCGATAATTTGAAAAGGTTCCAATTTGCATTTTTATAATCCTCAACATCACAATGGATAGAAAATTTTCACTGGTTTTTGGGTAATCTATATAAATAAAAACGAATCTCCGAAATGTTCATACGCGCATAACTTCAGAAAGAGTGCACTGAATTGGATAATTATTTTTTTGTTGTATTTGTTATTATCAGAAGAAGGTTTGTGTAAAAGATAATTTTCGAAAAATTGTAACGAAAGACGTAAAAACAGTTTTTTTTTCTTATTTTATTTATTTAAATCGTAATATAACTAATAGATGCCGCCATACTATGATTAACAAAATAAATGAACTTTGATAAACTTAAAGGGAGATATCGAGCACAATTTTATTAATTAAATCTTGCCCAAGTACTTTGGCTTTTCTAAAGCATCATCAGGGGCATTTCGTCAGTTTTGGGCTATCCAACAAGCGCAGATTGTAATAAACATAACATTAAACATAAAATTGTACAAACACTACACTACACAAGGACAAACAGTTAAAAATTATTTAAAAATTATTTAAGGCCGATCCTCGCGATTCTGGGCATAGGTAAATTCCAATGTAAAAGTTTATATCAAATAACGCAAAAACTATGGCAGATATTGAGATGATTCTTTTTTTATATGGAAGGTCTAAAAAAGTTCTAGTGCACTATTTGGTTGTAAATTAATAAATTGTTTAAACAATATTTTTTTTTCAAATATTTTTGGTTAAAATAAACGTAAAAATTTTTTTTTTGAAATAGGGCACTACAGAATTTGACCCACTTTCCGAATCTGTTTTTATTTTTAACATAAAGTGTAACACAAAGCAGCTATTTGATATAAACTTTTAAAAAATTTCAAATTTCTGCTAAATGCAATTTTCTCTCCGTCAGCACAGGGTGTCCTTGTCGGTAGCTTTTGGATTCTCGCCAGGTAGGTAAAACCCTCGGAGGAGGATAAATAAAGTTGAATAACATTATTAGGGCTTATTTCGACTTTTGACAAACCAGTGTGTTTATTGTATTTAAAATAGGAAATTTTATATAAATAAGCAGTAAGTACCTATAATTTTAT